ATCCCTGACATACACTGCCGCCCTCACTCACATACTACAACCTTCACACACACACACTGCTCACACACTGTCCCCCTCTCACACACACACACACACACACACACACACACATACTGCACCCCTTACACATTGCACCACTCACACACACCACTGCTCATATGCCCTACTACAGCCCCATTTCCCAGCAGACCTCAGGTAAGTTGTCAAACTGTTCTTAAACGGTTTGACTACTTACTCTGGGAGGGGGTCCCGGCACTGTTGACACCATAACCACTACACTGAGCTGTAGTGGCTATTGTGTCTGGATTATTTCTTTAAATAATCTACAAGTGCCCCTCCCGAGATCAGGCTCTGGATCCGCCAATGACTGACAACACACACTCACAGGCATGCTGACACACAAGGACATACTGACTTACACACAGACATACTAACACACATACATACTGACAGACATACATACTGACAAATTGACACACACACAGACACATATACTGACAAACACCGACAGACATACTGACACACAGAAAAAAAAATCTTTACACTTTTAAATCCACCCTCCAGTTTCCTACCTTTTGGGTACAGGAGGCTGAGGTAGATGTGAATGAGAGGCTCTGGCACTCCAGCTTCCTCCTGACGGCCTTCCTCCAACGCAGCTTAACTCTTTCTGGGAGTAGATGAATCACGGCTGTGCCAAACGGGCCCCTGCTGAGAAATGACCATTGGAAGGTCTTAAGTGTATGGGCCACCCGATGTGCCCCCAGTGCAGTGGCAGTACTGGCTGACCCAGATAAATAAAGAAAATTCCGGCCAGCGGGCCCACAGGTCAGCTGCTTTGGGCCCAGTGCAGCTGCCCTGTTTGGCCCGTGTTAAAGACGTCCCTGAGTAGTACAAAGCTAGGCTGCCTGTCTTACAATCAGAAAGTTCAGAGAGAAGCAGACACTGCTATATAATATAATGTAGACAGAAAGGTTCATATGAACCTGTTAAATGAGCAGTAACATTTGACAAATGTTAACATCTCATTGGCCAGAAGATAATATGGTTCATGAAAGCTGAAAAGAGACATGAACCCATAAAGGTGATGGCACGAAAAGGTAGCAGATTTATTTGGAAAGTCAGAACATAAACCTCAATGTTTTAACCTCCAATGAGGCAAATCGTAAAATCGGGATTTGGTTCTGAAATTATCTTGTTCGATTCGTCTCACCGGATATGAAGTCTTATGGCTATGGCCTGCTCTTATTCTGATAATTATAGATAACTCATCTCTAATCAGACATATCTGTAACAGAAAATATCATCACCAGTGACCCGCAATGGCTACATTTGAATTTTAATAGACTAAGGGGAACGAGGAGGAACATCAGAAAGTTAATAAAATTAATAAGGTTAACTGCTGGGGACATAAATTCCAAGAGAGCATTGTTACATTGCTTCACAGCTGTCAAACTTTCATGCTGTCTGTAAAATTTATAATTGCCAGTGTGACCTATGAATTAAAAAATACGTTAAAAATAAAAAAATTAAAAACCACGAAAACTTGGCCAAGAAAAAACCCCAAACACATAAAGTGCAATTTTTATTGAACTTTTTTTTTAAGTATCCTCAAGGTTTGGAACTAATTGTTACTTGTATCTTCTTCTAACCTCTAGCTCAAGAGGATTGCAAACTTGTATAACCTCTGGGTAACTTCCTTTCTCATTTAATCGTTTTGGCAGAAATATATTTTTCTTGTTCAAAAAAGCAAACAAATGTATGTATTCCTTAAACAAACTGAGCAAAAACGTGTCTTCTACAGGAATAAATGTTCCCCCAGGCAGATATATATTCAACAAGTAAAATGTCTATCTTACAAAGTCTATTGTGTGCAAAAAACTTTAGATTTTATATTTTCATAACTTTGCAATTAAACATAGAGCCAGGAATCAAAGTGAACAGAATTTATGATCAAAATGCCAATAAGTGTCAGAATTTGTCCCTGTATGTTATAGTTTGTTGAGATTTCTCTCTTTCAGTAACTCCGTTACATTAGTTCTACTTCCTTCTCATCTCTTGACAAATGGAAAAGAAAGTAGATCATTATAGTGCATTTACCGATATATTAAAGTTTATGTTTAATTGTATTGCGTGCGACAATGTTTATGAAAGTGAAGAAAAATATATAATGTCTAAAGAAATGCAAACGTATCAGGAGTGATTTTTCTTTTTTTAGTTGAACTAATATAACTAGGAACTGATATTACGTTTCATCTGATTATATATGTTACTGATTTTATAATGATTTATTAATGTTTTTATTATATGTGTATTAAAAGCTTTGTTGTTTTAAATACAATTAAAAAAAAGAAGAAATCTCAGTGTATATTTCCTAGTTAAACACATAGTATACAATTTGGACCAGCTTTGTTGTAGTTTGTTTTTACATTGTATATGTTATGATTCTACCAAGGTTACCATAATACGAAGGGATTTGTAAAGATCAGACACCATTATAGACAGGTGTGGATGCAATAGACCGTACATCATGTAAAATGTTACGATAGTATGTGCTACAATCTCTCACTGACTGTAAAAAAAGCAAATACAATCTAATATGTAAGAGTAAATTAATGACACAAAAGAACACAGGGTATTTGAAACTTTGGTGCCACGTCAGAAACAAAAAATGAGATTGTCCCAGCATTCTGCAAGAATGTTAGACTAAACTTGAGTCCTGAGAACAAAAGGGAAGTTAGACTACATACTTGAAGTGGCTCTGTGACCAAAAATATTATCTTATCTGTTTTTCCTTATGTATAGCAGTAAAGTTGACAAAATGTGACAATGGGAGGAGCTTAAAGCAAGGTGCTGTTTTAGTTACCAATCAAATTTACCGATAATTCATCCGTAAAATCAATTCCAAAGGAAGGCAAACACGGCACATCATTGGCTGAGGAGAACAAAATGGTTGCTCCCAGACATTGAGATTCAGCGTAAGGAATTAAAAGACCAGAATTATAAATATAGACAAGTGGCAAAGGGGGAGTATAATTATTAGGGGGCATGAGGACAGGGTGGCAAAAGGAAAAAAAAATATGACAGAGATATATTTGAAGTGGTGATGTAAGCACTATAGCCACTACCGTCTGTTATAATGTCTATAATGCCAGGAGTTCTCCAGCACTGTCTCCGGCACACACGGCCATATTGTCAAAGCAAAAGTTCAGTTTCCACTAAAGAAATAATTGGAATTTACGCTCTTGGCCACTGTAGTGATTATGGTGTTAAGGCTGGCCTTTTAGTGCCTGGATTGTCCCCAGACAGGCATTAGTTTATCATATAACATGCAGGAACTTTTAGTCTTTTTATTTTAATAAACTGAGTTTTTATACAGATCACTA